ATTTGAAATACAATACGCGCGGCTTTTTATGATGATAAACATTATAAAAATAATAGTTTCTCGATAAAAATATTGCTACTAATTTTCAGAAATTTTTATAATTATATATAATTTTGTATTATTAAACACATGTTTTAAAGTAAAACTTGCCGTACATGGAACTCTCCATCCACCAATTAATTTGCTCATTTCAAAAAACATTTTAGTACTTATGTCAAAACTTATTTGAAGACCGCAATCTCTCTTTCTTTCTACTTGTTTTTTCCCTAATGACTCCAGAACATTTCTCAATTGCGGAAACCAACGCGGAATTTGGCGATTTGCCTTCCAGAAGCGATATTTACTGTGTCACAAATTCACCCCGCGCGACGCTCGGGGTATTGTTCTTTCCGACTGTTAAACTCGGCAGCGTCCACGGTGGTAGCAGAACGAGGAAAGTTGGGCGCGCGGACGTCGGCTAAGTTTGCACGTCAGTTTGTCCAGTTATACCGGTTTTAGAGTCTGCGAAAGATAAAGGTGTCTGAGAGATGTCTATTAAGTCTCATATACATGTATATTAAGCGACGGCCGGCGGAGAAAATAGTCCCTCTCCTTTATCTGCCTCCGCGGCGCACTATTAAGTTCTGTTAAGTTTCCCAGTTATAATCGCAGCGTCTTCCGCTCTGCTTCTTAAGCGGCGCAACGAATATTTGTATAAATTTTCACAAGGGAGACTTAACTGAGAAACTAATTTTCCTCCGGAAAAAATGACATACCGCTGCACACACAGTAGGGTTCAGAAATACCGTCTGTTCATCCTAGCTTTTATCCTGGCTACGTATATAAATGTAGCGTCCTTTTGCAAAACTTTAATTGTCGAATAATTACCATTAATTATGCCTTATGATATATATCATATGAAGATCTTATTATAATTGCGACGTTGAAATTGTATAATAAAGCAATTGCTAAGAGAGAAAATACGTAACATAAATGTTTCTTTTTTTTTTTCAAATTTCTCGTTTTTCTTTCTTCAAATAAATTCAAAAGAACGACAGCTTAACATTATATTATTTTACTTGTCTTTTATTCACGAGGCATTTTCTCGCAGCACTTCCAATAATTCATAGAATCATTAATTATTGTCGTTACCAGATTTTTCCGGATCGTAAAATGTTTACGCGCTTTGCTGGATCTAACGTCGTGCAATTTGCTGCAAAGAAATGACCCAATTACCAATGAAATTTATCTTAATTACTACCTGAAAAAACTTAATTAAGCGATAACCGTCAAGTGGAACGTTGCGAAGGCGCGAAAGATTCTCTTCGTTTCTGCACGCTCTTGGGACGAGGAATCCCGGCAATTAAACCATTTTGATTTCACGCGCATTAATCATCATTTTAAAAATTCGCCCATGACACTTTGGCTACGACTATACTTTTCCAGGCTAAGCGCAAGCAATTACGTATGAACAATGTTTCCTATGCTCCGCGCTTCGGACGGCATGCACCTGCCCAGGGCAGGAATGCGATCAACAAACGACGTCGAAATAAGAGCACTGGAATTTCAATATGGACGTAATAAATCCGAGAACTTGGCTGCTTATTTAAATACTTTGACCCTGTATTCACAGGTACATTTAGCTATTCCTAGGTAATGGAAATTCCAATTGAAATTCCGAGTGCCGTTTTTTTAATTCGACCCCCGCCGTGGCCGCCCCATAAAAACCTCGCCCTCGCTTTGCCGCGGCTTGGTTTGCGTCACAATGCCGTTGCGCGACATTAAAACGGACACCGCGACGCGCCAGGCGTCGTAGACATTTACGAGTGGCTTTAGCCATAAGTTCGACGCGCTAATAAGAAATTATATATCACATCGCCTAAAGAAGTTGGACACTTAGCGCTCACTACGTGCCCTTAAGTGCCGGTAACTGGGCGTGTCGAGCTATAAAATAATTGAATTTCGAGTTCAAAGGAGCGTGTGGTAATACCATTACCTTACGCCGGCTGGCGCAATTAAGGTGTATAAGGCGTTTCGACGGTATACGCCCGGTATTCGCCGTTGGCTTCGGACCCCAAGTTTTCTGGGCACGTAGATATTTTTATCATTTTCCTTCCCGAGACACTCGGGGGATAAACCCGATAAAGGGATTCGCGATCGACGAGCAGTCGCACGTAGATCAGATACGCCGTGATCGCCTTCGAAAATTCATTCGCCACGTCGAGGAGATGCTCGCACTCCCAACGAGAATTTCCTTAATTCCCCGAAGAGGGTAAGACGGCAAGTTCTCTTCCACGAGTTGGAGCATTTCGTGCACTTTTAACTGTGTAGTCGCGTATTGCATTCGTTATGTGAAAAGACTACGGGAAAGATTGCTCCGATTGAAATTCGAAGATGGTTCGATAGCGCGGGCATAATTCTCTCGGAACGCGTCCATACACGGATTTCTCTTGTCTCGTTTGACAATCCGCGTTCTAGCGCTTTCGACAGAAATTTCTCATAAATAAATTGTTTCGACCTCGGACAAATGGACAAATTTTTTCACGGCGCGAAACAACTTCTGGCAGCTCGTAATTTTCCCTGCAATTTAAACTTCGTTTTCTGCAAACTTTTTACTCGAATTTTATACCCTGCCATCGTGGACTCCAAGCGAGAGTTATGTCAGAGTAAAGCGTGACGAAAAATTTATATTAACCATGTTCTGTTAAATTTCTTTCTTAAAAATATATCTACTAGTATTAAGAAATATACTAGTATTAAGTAATAGAATTGATTTTGCACATTTAATTTGAAACAATTTAACGTAATAAAAATGCATAATCTCAAAAACTTTCTTTAGAAGAGCTGATAATTTAATGTGAATCGTAATTAGAATGAAAAATTTTAGCACTTTTTTGAAGTAAGCTCGAACTGGTCGAATCCTTTCATTAAATCAAATTTGTCTAGTACTTTAAAGTATCTTGTAAGATAAAAATTCAATGATTAAAGGACAAGCGTGTCTTTATTATGTGTCGCGTCCTACTTTTTTTTTATATAAATTAACCTCGACAATCGAGGCGCCAATCGCTGCAGAAAGTAACTCGAGCGTGTCCAATTAGCGCTCGTGCAGTTCCGTCATTAGTGAAGTACACGCAAGCGTGATGGTTAACGCGAAGATCGGTCCAATTTAACGAGGACATAGGTAGTGACTTGCCGGTCAAGAGAACCAATCAACGCCTGACCAACGAACGAACGAACGAGAGAGAGAGAGAGAGAGAGAGAAAGAGAGAGAACGCGACACAGTCGCAGCCAGTTTTTGAATGTAGAGAACTTTTTTCCCCTTTTTCCTCGCCTTCAATGCGCGAGATGCAATATTTTCTCTGATACATTTCTTTCTACTTTGCATATACGCAAAGAGCTGCAGATAAAAGAATACAGTTATAGAATTTCTATATAAAGAAAGAACCGACGGGATAAAGCAAAATTGTATTAGTTATATTTTATATTGTTTCGTATTGATCATTTTTGAGATCCATAATTTATTGTTGTAAGCACATTCGGGAAAGCAGCTTTAAAAAAGTTTATGTAATTCTTTCACTTAAAAGTGATCATAATAGACTGATATATTATTAAACTAAAAATTAAAATTGAGAAAACGTTTTTACCGTCTCTCGAGATAATTTACCTGCGTTTACAGTTGTTTTCTGAAAAAAACCAATCTTTGTCAACCTATCTACGCGCCGCAATGCGGAGAATCAGAGAACACAGTAAGAAAAAAAAAGAGGGAAAAAGTATCTCAGAATGAAAAGTGCCGGCGAAGATTTCATAATAAAATAAGAAAGCGCGAAAAGAGACTGCAAGTTAATTAATCCGTAAGACGAGCCGCGATGCAACTGCAAGGAAATTATACTTTGGACAGTCTCGTGCTTGTTAGCCAAACGTAAGTACGAACAAAGTCTACGGAGACCGCATTTTCCAGTATCGATCTTCGCGAACGCAAGGTGCATGTAATCAGGCGCAGCAGGCAAATAAAGTCGCAATGTCGAAGGAACAAAGCCGTAAAACAAACGTAGTCGATATTCATTTTTCTCCGATTTCTTTACGCCAATTTTCTTTTGTAAGAAAATTAATTTTGTGTCTATTCTACACCCTTGCTTACACTTAAACTAGAACAAGTGTATCATTTCGACGAAAGAAAAGAAAAACAAAAAAGTGAAACTAAAAAAATCTATTTATTAACATTTACGTGTTTAAAAGTTACGTTTTGCTTTCAAGGTAACAAACTGCCAATCTTTTTCCTCGTCTCGTACTTAAAATTTCTTTTAAAAACAAGTATCTTGCAATTTATTTATTTCAAAGAAACTTTTACTATTCCGCTTATATTAATTTGAACGCAAATAATCCGGGAAAGAATTCAAAATGAGACAAATGATGTACGAGCTGCATTATCGATTCTCAATGAACTAACGAATGCAAAGCACATCTTCCGATCAGAGCTAAGCTTCCCCGAATCGACTCTTATTCAGCTCTTTAGACGAGGAGATTTGACTTTTCTGTTTGGACTAGCTGTTTGTCATTTGCGTTGTTCATTACGATTAATTGATCCAAATTTCGGTAGAATACATCAAGAGTCAGTAGCGAAACGAGAAGATAGAGCACTTGGATGGAGGAAACAAGCGGAAGTGGAAATTACGAAGAAACTTAAAGAAGTTTAATGAAGAGAGAAGTCCGAAGAATGATGCGAATGCGGGTATTCGTGTCTGTGCACACGTATATACGAGGAAGTAGACTGCCCTGGGAAGAAGCATACTTCACTTGGAAGTAGCGAAGTTTGTTGAGTCTGTACGAATCGAAAGGTACATTTCATCGGGATAGTTAGATGGCCCCAGCAATAATCACAAATATCGACTAGTCGAAACGTATCACGCGAAAACAGAAGAGGGAAAAGTAGCGCATCTCTCATTGTTGTTTTCCCTAATTCCTTCACTCTTTCCCACCAAATGTGATATACGTTTCTACTAGAAAACTTAGGATTGCTTTACCTCTTATATTTTCGAAGCACGAATGCGGAATATCCGGCCTTACGCTCCTAAGAGACCAGTTGCAGGATTGCGAGCTCGCTTCCATTCCGATCTGTAAAAATTTATATGTTTACAATTTTTATTTATATCTAATTGCACACAAACACATATATATTTATCTTATTTTTATATTTATAATAACTTAATATTATATAGAAAATTACAAATTTGGAATGTAAATTTTATTTGATAGTAATAAATAATTTCAAACTTTTCAAATAAATCTGTCTACTCTTTTTATGTCAGGCAAGCACAGGTTAGTTAACACATAAATTAAACATTCGTTTGTCAAAGTAATCAAGTTTTACCCACATCATGATTTTTTAAGCGTGCAGCGTATTAAACAATAACACCATTTTTATACATAGAAAAAAATCCCAAATTACTTACAATAGTACGCAATCCAATATTTAGAGAAATACTTTATGAATATGTAACATTTTTTCCTCGGCTTTTATTTTAAATATTTATTCGCAAAAAATGGATACATAATTTGTAATGTTATATGCGACGCATTAATGTCACAACTTTTCATAAATTAGAAGATAACTGGCGTGGATATTTTAGAAAGATATCTGAAGAAGACTTTCTGCTGGAGCAGTAGAAATCACAATGAAAGCCAGGACCTTAATCAATCCATGACGCAACTGGTTCTCTTCATTCTTTTTCTCATTGTCCAACTCCATACAAAGAAGTTTCTCTCTTTGCGTCTTTAACTTTACGTTTCTGCGACAATACGCACGTAGAATACGTTCGGTTCGTTACGGGCCGGGTAATGACCAGCGAGTGTCGTTCACGGACACTTCCTGGGTCAGCAGGAAGTCGCGCGAGAGATTGTTACAGCATTACAAGTATCTTCAGCGATGGGAGCACGGTGAGCTTCGCGCGAGGTAAGAAAAGAACCGCGCGGATATGGGCGTGTACTCGGGAAGAAAAGAGTAACGTGAGGAGAAGTGTCGGGCGAGGAGCAGTTCGCTGGGAGTAACAATGAAGGCTCCCTTTTCTTGCCGCGCTCGACGGAGCTTGCATCGGCAGCTTTCGGCGAGCGATCGGCCGTAAATCTGTGTTCGACAATAATGATGAACTGTTTGTGTTTCACAAGACAAGCCTCGCCCCCCCCCCCCGACGCGTTACAACGGAGAAGATAATACGGTTGAAAAGGCGATGGCGGTTTCAAAGCCGAAATGGAGAATATCCGGCCCTACGCGTCTCAAGAGCCCCGAAGTTGCAAGACTGTGATCATCATCACGAGCTCACTCGTATCGTTGCCGGTAACGTGGTTATGTATGCGTATTGCGATAAAACAATTTATAAACACGCCTGTTGCATTTACTACACCGTGATGCTTAATCTTCATTATTTGCAAGGCAGCTATAAAAATAAGGATTTTTCTCCATTTTCTTCATTTGCAGAAAAATTATCTTGTTGCTTTTTACTGATTTATCGAAAAGAAAGAAAAGAAAAACTTTAATAACTGATGTAATAATTTTTTTTCTTTTAATAAAATAAGTTATGTAATCTTATTAACGCTACAAATCGCATAGTATTACACATAAATATATCTACTGCAAATTGGATTAAAAAATGCTCAACCAAAAATTGTTTTGCCCAAACGCAGAAATATTGTTATTTGAAATATTTTTTCTCAAATATGGACACAAGCCTTTTAAACTCCTTCAAACCCTGGAAATCGGATAATATTGTACGGTACTTACTTTATCGCATAGAACCAATCCCTCCGTGGATCATAAAGTTTGCACGTTACATATATTACGACACATAATCCTCAAACTTGAGTTCGAAGACTTGACTTCATCATCATGTAACAGAGACAAGTTACAAGCCTCTTGAGTCCACAATTTACATAGGCAACGATTACGCAATCTGACATGCAACGAAAGCTCAAAGGTGCACTATCGAGTTCACTGGACGCATCAAAGTACTTCCTGTGCACGCAAGTGTATCTTTGATGCGACAGCGACAAAAAATACGTGACAGAAATTCTTCGAAATGAAACACTGTAGATTATAATTATTCTCACCGAAGAATACTTCAACCACAAAAAGTAACGAAGTACACCCGAGAGTTGTTTCACACACTGATTCACATACATTTTTTTATAAAGGAAAATTGTACGCAATAGTTACAGAGTAATTTTAGAATAGTCAGAATAACATTACACACAGCTGTGAACTTATTCTGTTGCTGTAAAAAATCAAACTTTAAATAATTGTTTAAAACAATCTTTTGCAAACTGTAAACTGTATATTCTAATTTTTAAATTACTAATATTTAATAATGCAAAGTTCTTGAAAGATTAACATCAAATGGATATTCACACACAATAAATTTACAATAACTTTTAATTTTCTCGTACTTCTCATTATGGATTCTGTTCCTAAAAAATTGAATAATTGCGATAACAATTTATCGATTTTTACAGAATGTTCCAAGTATTGCGTACAACCTCAGATCACGTCCGATAAATTTATATTTTGCATAATTTTTCTGCCGTAATACGAGTGGCCGGTCTCTACAAAAAATTCACTTTATAAAATTATATTATGCCACTAATGGAAGAGGGATGCATATCGTACACGACACATTGTCAATTAATGCGATGAGTACGTTACTGCAGCCTCTATTCATTATAGCTATGCCAGTTATGCTGTAAATACATAATTAACGCTAATGGAATATTTATTAATTCGCAACTTTCAAATTTATAGAGTCTGTTTCCATGTGATCCTAATACATTACCTATAAGAAAACACTATATCAGTGATATAAATATTCAAATTATATGTACACTATAGTATATAAACTTTGAAACAGATCTAAAGATATGGACATTCAATTTTTCAAAGCTACATGTAAGCTACATCCCTAGCAAAGCATTCTCGAAACACTAGCTTCATTCAAAATTACGTAATTTATATTGCTGATATCTGACACGTGAAAATGAATACTTTTCGAAACATCTACAAACGAAGAGATATGAGATATTTCATCCAAGATAGTTATTAAAGATCACAAATATCAACACAGCACAATTGTTAAAAATCTTGAATCTCTCGCGATATTCCGTGTGCTATGTCCCTAACATTTGACAATGATTTGCAAGTTTAAATCTTGGTGATTTCAACTGCTTTGATTCCTCGCAAAGACTATTCTTCCTCGAGGCGCGAGAATTCTTGCCATTTAGAGTCGGAGATTCCTCGTTCTTTCGCAGCACGTCGTGTAAGATTTCGTGGTTTAATTAGCGGTCGAGAGATCGTAAATACGCTTAAAAGCCGTACAGAGAGAACCCTTTTAACGATATCTCCGCAATTTGCCTTAAACGACCCGGTCTTCCATTTGACGCTAATACTGCTAAATCTCGCGCGAGAGCCGTTCGAGCGGGGGTTAGCTATAAGAACGGGGAGGGGGAAGGGAGTGAGGACGGCCTGCTCTCTTTGGAACGGGGAAGCGAAAGTAAGATAGATGCTCCAAGGGATGCAGAAGAAATTTCCTCAAGGCCAGCGATAAATAGCCCCTAATTACGGCTCTTTCCGCGACGGTAAAGCGCTCACCCCGTCGCCGTTCATCGACAAAAGGGGTATCAATTAGTTAAAAAGAAAAAAAGGAAAGAAACCTCTGCACTCAAGGACGCTGGAACAATGAAGCCGGAGAAAGGAGACTTCGCGATGAAGGAGGAGACCCGACTATCTCGTTTCTCTCACTTTGCGTTCTCAGCCTTACTGTCTCTGCTCCAGGGATGTAGTCCTAAAATACGAGTCCTGGAGCAGTTTTGCCCAAAGTTGCGAGTCTGGGGAAATGAGCTTGAGCTATGACAGTTCTTACAGTTCTCGCAGTGCGATGCAAGCATATGCTTTCAAGCATTCCGCTCAAACTTCTTATATCTGTGCATACGATCTATATAACTTGCAATTTTACAACTATTGTCCTCCAGATTTAAATGATTAAAGTTGTGTGCAATTTTTTGTCTAACAAGCATCCAACATTCATCCGCAAATAATAAAAATACTAAAATATTCGAGATATTTAAAGATATCTAATTAAAGAAATTTTTTAAACGCGAAGAATTGTTATCTCTTTTTCCTCAAGATGCTTTCAGCGCTAATTGAAATAAATATCCTCGGTAAAAATGATGCAATATTAAAGAATAAAATTTTTACTTTTTCAAAAGCTTACAAATATAATGCACCAAAATCCCTATCAGATGTTACAGCCGTGCCTAACACTCCTTTCCGAGAACATTTGTTTCCGCCAGATGACTAAACAAATAATAACAAGCTCTCATCTTTATTCCAGCTATGAAAGGAAGAACGGTGTGCATGTAATTAATTTGTGTTATTAACGGTACCACAATAGCCTTATTTCGAGAATTGGAGCGAAACAAAGATCAACGATTAATGGCGACCATTTAAAACTTAAGCGTCTTCCATTAAATACAATTCATAATTCGGCAGATAATTGTGCAGAAATATTTTAACGCTTAAATTTATATTAGTAAATTTAAAATTATTTTTTATTCTGAAAAGTTAGTATAAAAATGTTCCTAATGATACAAAATCTTGTTTATTCGGAATTCATAAGGTTATTTACAACATTCGCCGAGAATTATTTATAAAACTTGGGACTCTGTGTCACAAATTTTCCCATAAATTATAAATCATATAAAGCAGAATTTTACATATGCTGCCAAACAATAAACGCATAGTTATAATAAATTGTACTGCTAAAGAAATGGTAGCTTGTAAACACGGAACAATAATTTGATCTCACCCGTTTAAATCGAGATAAACAGGACCAGTCCCGAGAACGAAGTGCCTTCGCACCTTTCCGCGTTTATCATTGTGCCGCTATTCGAGAACAATCCCTGTTTTAGTGGTGCACAAAACCGAAACGCGGAGGGTAAAAGACGTCGTTATTACTCGAACGTGCGAACAAGGGTTACTTGTCGTTACTTGTCGTCGAAGTAAACATTATATGATTGTCACGGACGACAAAAATTGCGGAAATACACATTTTTACGACAAATAGTAAACC